CAAAGCCTTCATTTGTTGCACGTTTTTAAAGCAATTTTAAATGCCTTTAAACCAGAATGGTATATTAACAAGTAATAACTCTCAGGACAGTACGTCCTGAAGATCACTTAAGTATCTCCTTTGAAAACACAGAAGTTTTACAGAACATACGAGCCTAAACACAATTAACAGCATCACAGGAAATGCTGCTCTTTCCAAATTTGGTCTGTTCCAAGAAAAATTTCATTAAAATGAGTAAATTCTGATGGTGATTTTTCATTTTGGCACTGCAGGTTTTTCAGAAGAAAACCCTCATTAATATCAACCAAATGAAGCTAAGAGCAATCTCTTGGAAGTCATGACCAAGGACCGATCCAATCGCTTTTACCTGTACTTATTCCACAACAGTGTAATTCAAATACCTATAGCATGGAATACGGCAGCAGTCTGCCATGAAACAAGCACTTTGGGCAGAAAGAAAGGAATATGTAAAGTGAACTTGGGTGGAAGGGAGGGGGGCTGAAAGAGGAAACACACTTACCAGAATGAGAATTTGCTCAGAACAAAAGAATCAGACGTTAATGCACAGTTAGTCAATACTTCAGTTTTATGTCTTCCAAAATGGCACTCCAGCATCACACTTTGGAGCACTTATTTAATAAAATTTTAAAAAGAGGTGATGCTGACAGTCACATCATTTTCTGATGGATCTTGGGTTTTCTCAGATTTATTTCATTCAGGTTATGACCATACCCACACTGATTAGCCCATGACGTTTCAAGATCACTGCTAAAGTACAAATGCAGAATAGACTAAGAAACGCTTTTTTGTAAAGATGTTGCCTACCTAGAGCCAGCACTTGTCACTGGCCAGTTTCTTCTAAGGACGTTGTGGGGTCGGGGGTTTTTTTAAACACAAATGAAAGAATATTCTCCTATTACTACTTACTATTATCACCTTTTGAAAAAATGGTATTCTTTTTAAAGTGGAAATAAACCAATTTCCTAATGAAATTTCTATTAATAAATTACTTTTCCCAACATTCTTACGTGAAAAAATGTTTACCTAATTAATCTCAAAATACCACCCAACATTATTCTGTTTAAATGGGAGTGAGGCCGTAGTCTGAGGAACATTTCTTTTAGCTACAAACGCAAAAGCCATTTTGGACATAATTATTTTTAACATTCACCCCTTGATCTAGTTCACTGTAAGAGAACCAGTCACTTAATTACTCTCCGAACAATGCTAAGTTGCTAACCACTTGATTATCAAAGATGTTGGAACAACCAACTGTCAATTGGGATCTGCAGAAATGCTGAAAATCAGACCAATCTATGAAAAAAGGTCTGCCACTGATCTGGGATTTAAAGTCAGGTCATGTGAACTCACACAGATTTCTAAGCCAATAGAATAATTACCGACCTTGTTTTTAATCTAGCTCCTACTCTGAAACATAATTCCTGCCGTGCATAAATAAAAATGAATCACACTATTTTGTACAGTCAATTCTCCACTTTTCATTTACAATTATATAGTCTGAGTAAACACTACAGGTACAAAGACACTTGGACGGTGCTCTGAAGGCCAGCTCCGGAAAAGAACTGCAGCTTTCCAACCTAAACTAGCTCCAAACAAATTACCTGTTTCTCAGCACTGTGCCAGAGATCCCATTTCTGAGAAGGCTTACTTGCTTGTGCATGCTTATTGCTTACAGCACTACAGAATCTAGTTACAGTGCTTCCTCATGAACTTCCTCTCTGTGCTCTCATAAAGCTCAGGCATCTCTGCAGAGAAATTCACTATAAAATTTGGTTAAGAAGAGATCAGAGTCTGTACAGATGGATGTTTGCAATGCCAAGGGAAAGAAACTCTTAATAAAAGAAAACTTTAAAAGCTACAGCAAAAATGGTTGTATCATATTTTCTATTGTTACCGCTAAAGTCACCAATTAAAATTTTAGAAAATATTTTACTTAAAATTGCAAGAAAATACAGGTGAAAGTCATGCCTAAAAGAAAAAATATTTAATATTGAACAGCAAGTTGACAAACGTCCGTATGCAACTTCATTACAACTCAAACTTCCCCTGCAAAAAGTCAAATCTTTAGCAAAATTGCAAATATATACACTTTTTTTTTTTAACAAATTGATACATTTACCGTATTTTGGACAACTTTACACCATCTCTCTGTTTCAGGACAGAAGCTTTATGTTACTACGCATTAAGTATGGATTCTAAGGGTTCCAGCTACAAAATTACAATTAAAAAAATAAAGACAATAACAGCAGGAGGGACTGGAAATACTGGGTTCAAATGTGTATCACTGCAAATGTTCTGCACTCAAAAAGATCAAAGATTGTCCATCCCTACATAACTTTCATAGAAGAAAAAGAATGGGGTGCCACAAGTTTGGTATGTATACTTTTCTGATTTTCAGGAAGAAGGAAATCTTTAATTCATGGACCTTCTAAAACATGAATCTGTTGTAACAATTTTTGATTAACATATAATGATGAGAACTGAAATACATTAAACACTGAATGCATTGTCTGTTATGTCTAGAACGGTGTATATATCTGCCTTTCTTCCTATCATGTACTTAAGATTCTCAAGAAGACATGCCAGAGCCCCATATCTCAAACAGTTGAGGTTGAAGAACAGCAGGTTGTTCAAAGCTAAAGGATGTTACTGTGTTTGACAGAGATGATGCTGTGAACAGCAGAAAGGTCTGCTCTTTTAGGACTATTTCCCAGCTCTGCTCACTGACATGTCTTGTTCACATTAGCAATTAAATAGGTGAGGCCTTCAGAAATCCTTTTGAGAAATTGAACTAATTTGAGCTTTTTTGTAAGTATTTTTTCAATGTTTGGAATACAAAAGCTAGCCATTTAGACTGTTAGAACATTATCTTCTTGGTGGCATGTGGCAGTCTGTGACCAACTAAACACACACCAGAACAGCCAATCAAATTTTTGGTTACGTGTGTTAAGTTCTACTATTTTACAAGACAAGTAGGGCAAGGGATAAAATCTGTGGTCAATTAAATTCCATTTCTAACTTACTATTCAAGATGAAGTGGATGATGACAAATAGTCATCCACAAGCTTTAGTAAACTGTACTGCCACTCAAATATGCCTGAGATTCACTACCTATCCCAAGCCTCTCTGATTTCTTGTTTGTCATGACACTCTGTTGCAGAGTTTCTCCCTAGGTGCACTGTGGCAAATATGGGAACAGCCATCTGGAAGCAACTGCAGTTTTGCAAGTTGGGGTCAAACTCAAAAATTCCCACGAATCCTCTCCCAGCATCTCATGATCCATCTTTTTTTGGCTAACAGGCAACATTCTTAAAGTATTACCAACCATCCCAGATTTAAAAAAATAAAATAAAATAAAGTGTTACATATCATGATGCCCTTCTTCATACTCAACAGTTTTTGGAGATGCATTTGAATTTCACCCTTCAGTTGGCTCTGCAAGCCAACGACTGCCCTGCAAAGCAGAACTGATAGCAGTTTCAGCAATGGCACTTGCCATCTAGTCTGCCTGCAGCTTTACCAACAGGGAGAGAAAGAACTGTCATCACCTGAAGGAACTTTGGCTGAAACACAGCCATTTGGTGCAGGTTTGCATTCGTGTTCAAGAAACAGCAGTAAAAAAAAAGACTGTTTTGGCACAGTGTGACATGGCCACCATCTGCTACAGCACGTCAGGATGACAAAGAATAGCCTCGGGAGATCTGTATGCAGGTAATCTCACAGCTGCAGTAGCAACTCTTCAGCAAGAAAGCTGGAGCTGTGAACACACATTTGCAGTGAAATACATGCAAATTGTGCAAAGACTGTTCAGAACATCAGGGGTTAACAGTGTCCTCTACATCTTAATTTGCTCATATCTGGCTCTCCCTATGTATTTTCACATGGTGCTTAAACGGAGTATCTTGACTGCTGAGATGCTAATTTTCGTAATGGAAAAATTCCTTAAAATATCCCTAGACTGGTGAAATGCTGTTTTGCATTTGAAAAAATGCCTAGAAAATAAAAGAATACTGTGCCACAGTACAGTCTGAAGTGTACCTCATAACATACTAGGAATACTGTTGTCTTGGGAGGAGGGGGGGCGGGGAGAAAACCTTGCTCAAAATACATACACACAGTAATCAATACCACTACAATTTTGCCCAGTACTTGACAAATGCACTATAGGGTGGTTCAGGCATGTTCAGGGTGGTGTGGTTCACAGGTGTTGTTTGTCTTTTGTCTCGGACAGTATAAAGAAGAAAACCAGGAACTACTTTGAGAACGCAAGAAATGGAAAGGTTTGTTTACTGCAGCCGCAGCAGACCAGCACAGAAGCATCAGGAAAGACCAAGGGGAAGAAGATTGCTGAGTAGATAGCTGAGGTAGAAAGAACTTAAGTGTCACTGCATTGAGGATGCTTTGAATGCAGTCAACAGAAAGAGTAGGTAAAAGAGGAAAGAAAGGAAACAGTAAAATGAAGTGAGGTGGGGTTTTTTTTTGCATTGTGTGCATTTTTTCAATGCATTTAACAAGATCGTGATTTTAAGAAAAGACCTCTGCTTGCATAATTTACAATTGCAGGCAGCGAGTAAAAGCAAACACCGTGTTATGCCCTCACCGCCGAGAAACTGCGGGAGGGGATGATGCCAAGATGACTTTCTCCTTACAATAGGAATAAATCTACTGAGTCAAAAGGAAGTTGCCCTCGCTGGGGAAGAGTGTGTATGACTGGCAGATAAGGTGCGTGCACCAGAGTCTGTCCAGTCCCCTTACACATCTGAAGGAAAGAACACATCACAGGAAAGGAATAATGGTCTTCAGGCACCTCTTCATCATAGGAGTCAATACTTGTTCCAGCATACTAATGACAAATTCTAATTCGCTCATGGCTTTTCTAGTAATAACTAGTGTTGCAGTCACTGTGGGAGGCCCAGATGTTTTCATTTGCTTTCTGTAAATGAGCTTCAGATTCTAACAATTTAGATAACACTGCAGTGACCTGTCCCCTTTGGTCACTCTTCCAGCAATTGTCTTGTTAATATCCTTGTTGCAAGGTCTGTTCTCAAAGGCTTTTCAAACTTCCGCTCTCTCTTCAGTGACTAGGAAGGTGTGGATCTTTACAGTGCCAGGACAGAGCACAAGACAGAGTACCACGCTACAGAGCAATAATGCTCACTTATTCAACAGCCATTTTTGCTGTGTATCAAATTTTACACAGTAAGTTGTAACTGGGAAACATGGCACAGAGCAGCAGAGGACACACAGGAAAACAGATGAGTTCACCCTGGTAACACGGGGAGCAGTATCGATGGCAGCTGGAAGGTTGTCAAAAGAGTGAACAAGCACAGATATGCTCAAATATTAATATTCATTAACTGATGTTCTGTGAACTTTCTTACAGCTTCAATTGCAATTACAGAATGTGCATTACCTCACCAGCCAATATTTCTTACGAATTGCATCCTGTTAAGGATGAGATCATTTCAAGGAGCAGAAACTGAATTTAATGAGGATCAAACCATCTTGCAGAGGCAATCCTTAAACGTAACTCAACATTTTTCAGAATTGTATCAGCCATCCCCATTCAGTTCTGGTATATAACCAATGTCTTTAGTAGGGAAATCTTTTCATTTGTGATCATAAGAAAATGATGATACAGTTTTAAAAAAAACAAATACATTTGAGAGTTAGATTTACTTATGACCAGAAATTGTAACAGCAGGCCCAAACTTCTAACAAATCATCATTTTCACTTTTGATAAAACTTGGGTTGCTATTGCTTACTAATTTTCCATTTCTGTAAGGAAACAGTACTAATTATTTTAAAAGCCATTAGCGAAGGAAAGATGGACTTCACGGATTTGGAAGACAGAAAAAGCAGTGTGATATAAATAGGGCACAGATTTACCACAGCATCTCCACCCCCAGAAAGTCCTGCTATTAAAGAATCGTCAGTCCAGTGGAGAAGGAATAGTAAAATAGTGCTTGTTACTTCTCATGGCAGGTAATCCACTTTAGATCCAAGTAACTACTAAGAATCATCATCTTAAGATATAAAACAGAGGCTGACAAAAGACATCAATTAACTGTCATTTGAAAGATTGTTCGTAAGTACTTGAAATTTCAATTTGATTAAGGAGAAAATGAAAGGATGACACCAAACACAACATAGGAGCTCTTCACACAACTTTTCAGCAATGTGAAACAATGCCCTTGGCAGTGAGAGAAACTTCTGTAATCTTATCCAGAAAAGGCCAAAAAAATCACTTTCTGGTCAGCCGGGTCAGTTATTTATATTTCTGTTGGCACAAAAGTATATGTGAAAAAATAATTTTCTTAATAGTTATTAATTTATTTGATTACTAAGTTCTCTTGCTAACTTCTTCAGTTTAAATCATAATTTTTATACTTTTCTAGTACTTCTCAATTTAGTATTCTGAGATAAATTTCTGTTAACTGTTCTACTCTTGTCAATTCTTCATGCAGCCAGTATTCTCTTTTTATTTTCTAAATGAGTGCTTATTTACTTCCTCCAAACTTTTATCACCAAATTCATTTACAAACAATATGCTGTCTTAGTAACTAAATAAATTAAATATACTCTATTCAAACATCTGTGTTATTTCAACTTTATTCTAAAAGTAACTACCTTTTCTAAACATAACTACTAAGCTAATGTACACCTTTATTCATTTACTGAGACGATAGTTTCACTACTCTGATGACAGGCTTTGAACACCTGATCACGTGGATTGGAATTTCTTGAGTTATCAGCTTTCAAAATTCTCTCCTGAGTTTTTAACATAAAAGTATAAGCACCACACATACTTTTTCTTATATATTTTAATAATGACTTTTGAGACCTCTTACTGATGAGAAACAATGATATTCCATTCATATAAAACTTCTCAGGTGTGCAATGAAAAGTATTTAAAACAAGAAAAAGACTAGCAGGTTGACTTTTCAATAGAGAATAGAAGTTTTACCGTAGCTAAGTACATTATCTAAAATAGACAGTAAGTAGGATTAAAGCTCTGTGTCAGAAAGCAGACTGAAATAATTCACAGTCAAACTGCTTAGATGTTAGAATATTAAATGTGCCATCATTGAATAATTTCAAGAGAGATGCACATTTTCATTGTAAATTCCACCTTTCATTGTATGTCTTTGAAACGTCAAACTGTAATGGGATGCTGCTACTAAAACGGGATCTCTGAGCTTTCCAAATGAAAGTAAAAAAATAGTAAGAAATACTAACAGAAGCCACCAAAAACTCTATTTAAGACATCCTTAAAGGCTTACTTTCTTCAAAGGTAGACATAAATTAATTATTTTAATTAGGTCACTAACGGTTTCTAACAGACATCATGTTCATCTTTTTCATTTCCAAAACACTGATGGTGTGATGGACGCATTCAAGACA